CAGAATAATGGCCAACAAACATATGAAAGAATGTTCAACATCTCTAATCATCAGGGAAATGCAAATCAAAACCACAATGAGATATCACTTAACCCCAGTGAGAATGGCCTTTATCAAAAAGTCTCCAAACAATAAATGCTGGTGTGGATGTGGAGAGAGAGGAACACTCCTGCACTGCTGGTGGGACTGCAAACTAGTTCAACCTCTGTGGAAAGCAATATGGAGATACCTCAAAGCGATACAAGTAGATCTACCATTTGATCCAGCAATTCCACTCCTGGGCACCTACCCAAAAGATCAAAAGTCACTTTATGAAAAAGACACCTGCACTCGAATGTTTATAGCAGCACAATTCACAATTGCAAAGCTGTGGAAACAACCCAATTGCCCATCAATTCATGAGTGGATTAATAAAATGTGGTATATGTATACCATGGAGTACTACTCAGCTTTAAGAAACAATGGTGATATAGCACCTCTTGTATATTCCTGGATAGAGCTGGAACCCATTCTACTAAGTGAAGTATCTCAAGAATGGAAAAACCAGCACCACATATACTCACCAGCAAATTGGTATTAACAGATTAACACCTAATTGGACATATAGGAGTAACATTTATCCGGTGTCAGGAATGTGGGAGGGGGGAGGAGGGGATGGGTATATACAACCACAATGAATAAGATGTGCAACCTTTAGGGGATGGGCATGCTTTAAGCTCTTACTTGAGGGGGGAGGGAGGCATTAACACTTGTACCCCCATAATACGCTAAAATAAGAAAGAAAGAAAGAAAGGAAGAAAGGAAGAAAGAAAAGAAAAAGAAAGAAAAACCCAAAAGGACTGAGTTCTGGGAGCATCCAGAGATAGCTGAATGTGTGGAGGTTCTCAGAGGGTGGCACACTGGAGAGGGTACAGAGGCTACATCCCTTCTCATTTGTAAAAATAAGTAAATGTTTTCCTGAGTTCTGTGAGCCACTCTAGCAAATTAGTTGAACCCAAGGAAGGCGTTTTAGGAATCTCTGATTTATAGCTGTTCTATCAGAGGCACAGGTGACAACCTGGACTTGTGACTGGCCTCTGTAGTGGGGGGCAGTTGTGGGACTGAGCCCTCAGCCTGTGGGATCTGACACTATCTCCAGTTAGGTGGTGTTGGAATCTGAGTTAGAGGATATCCAGCAGTTGTCCACTGGAGAATGTTTGGTACGTGGGGAAGTATCTGTCCAGCTGGGCTCACGGAAGTGTTTTGTCTTGTGAGAGTATAGTAGGAGAAACTGAGTTTGATTTTTTTCCTGTATCAGGGGCAGAAGGTTTGTTTGATTAACTACCTACTAAAGTGGAATTTTTATTTCTTATGCTCTTCTCATTTCCTGGAGCCCTGTGGTAGTCTCCCTACTCCCTCTGGGCTCTTTTCTCATGGATTTGCCGTAGCTTATCCAGAGAACAAAGCATCATTTTTCCCCAAGCATTGTGCAGTATTAATTGGTGGTTGTAATTCTTTATAGCCATTTATTGAGTGCCTGGTATGTGCCAGACTTTATAACACTAGCCGCTGTAACAAAACCCTGAAATCCTCAGTGCCTTCATACAACAAAGGTTTATTTACTTTACTCAAGTTAAGCCCGATGTTGGTTGCATGTGGGGAAAGGAGTGGGGGCTCTGCTCCACACAATCTCAGGGACATAGTTTCCTTCCGTCTAGTGATTCCATGTTCCTTGGAATTATCCACCCAATTCATTGCATCCAGCCAGGAATCCAGGGAAGAGAGAGCTGTAGGAATGCATAAGCGGTTTTACCATCTACGTCTAGGCAGGTGCCCATCCCTTCCGTGCTCAGACACACAGCTTACCTACCTAGAAGGGGGCTGGAGAGAATCTTCTGTCCCTGTGCCCAGGAAGAGGAGGGAGAAGCCAGACGTGGGGTTGAGCAAGTGCAGCCTCTGCCGCAGACCTTGACGGGTTGCCTACTCAGCAGGTGTCTGTTAGACACCCTGGTCTATGGTTAGGCTTGAGCTGGGCACCCAGGAAGCTGTAGAAGAAGCAAGAAGTTTAAGTCTGGTGCTCAGAAGGCACGTGGTGCCCAGATGGTCATTCCACGGTCACACAGGGCAGTACATTATCATGAGGTATAGACCGGGTTGGTCGGCCAGGGGAAGGCTCCGTGCAGGAAGGTGGTATTTGTCTCAGGTTGTTACTAAGTAATTTTCACTGCCAGTGAGTGGTGTGACACCTCATTGATCTATGATTTTAGCTATCCTGGATTTGGGGTTTTTGAGAGAAAATTCTTCCTCTTTCTACCTCCTAAAGGAGCCCCTTTCTCAGGGGCTGCTGACTCATGCTCTGTCGCACTCAACCTTTTCATTTTCCTTTCACTCCTGCGTTTGGAGAGCAGAGGCACAGTGAAGGTTCTCAGCCCACTTACTGCCCATAGAGACAGCAGTGGGGGGGTATTCAGGGAGGGGTGCCCCCAGTTGTACTTGGGCTTTTTGCTTTGGGTCAGTTATGACAGTTCATTCTTCACCTCCATGTGACCTTGAAAAAATCACCTGTCTGTGCTTCCATGACCTTATCTGTGCAACTCCTTTTAAAAATGACTCTCAGAAGAACCCCAGTGAGTAAGACGGACAAAAGTGGAGCTCTTATGGTTGATAATCTTTCCCCCTCACCTCCAGCTCAGGGACCCCTGAGAGGTTACCCAGGCAGAGGGGCCTCCAGGACTCCAGGCCTGAGATTCCTTAGTTCTGTAGGGGCGTAGGGCAGGCAGACCTTTCCAAGACTGCTTCTGAGGGTCCTTGCCACCTCACCAGTTCCACTGCCTGTGCGAGTCCTAACACCTCTCCCATCTCACCAGTGCTACCTCCACCCTCTCCCCTGCCCTCACGGGTGAAAGGGACATTAGTGGAATGGAACCTCGGGTTTGCTGTCGTTTTGATGACTTGCATCCTCTTGTCAGAAGGTCCTTGCATCCTCTTGTCACATGACCCCACAGAGTGAGGAAAGGAAGCAGTTGGTTTCATGAATTATTGCTTCTTTCTTTCTTCTTTACCCCAAGAAAAAATTCCAGTCCTCTAGACAGCTCCCACACACTTCTCTGTCCTTTTTGATTTAAGTGCAGTTTTTCTTCCTAATGAGCTCTTGTCTTCAAATGGAGCTGGGAGGAAAAATGGGACCTTGGGAATATAGGAATCCTCGGTGAATTACTTCAAATTAATGAGAGCAAGAAGGGAAATCAAATTCAGTTGTGCAAATTAGCTTCGTGTTCTGGGTCTTGATGACTTAAATTGCATATGCTAATTAAATGGCCCCAAATAACTATGAAGTGGCTTCTAAGGTCTTTTTGACCTAAAAGTTTCTCTGACCTGTGAACTCTCTGAAGTGTAAAATTAGTTTGTAGATATTTCTCTTTAAGCATTTCTATGTCTAGAAACCTCAGGATGCCCATAATGCAAACCACCCTCCCAAGGGAAGGGCAGGCAGGTAGAGAGGGCAAGGACCCTGAAGGGGGAAGGGGAGGGGGACACATGGGTGGTTTGGGAGCCTCCCTAGGGCTGGTAAGATGTTGAGGTTCACATGTGGCCCTCTGTTAGGTAGTTGTCTGCACTGTCCCAGATGAAGGCGATGACTGGCACCTTCACCAGCAAGCTGAGCAGGGCAGCAAGGCAGACAGCAGGATGCTGAAATAACACTACAGTAAGCCAATAAGCATCTTTGCTTAGGAGTCTTTTCCATGTTCTGGATTATTAGGGAGAATTTTGTTACTGTTTATAAATTTTGATAATTAATGCCAAGTTGCTTTCTTAATGCTTGTACCACTCTAAAATATGATCAACAATATAGGAGAGCCTTAGACAGTTTCCCCCAGGTCCTCCAGCAATGCTTATTCCCATTAGAAGAACAAATAAACCTCTTCAAGGACTAATTTAGGTGAAGATAGGTATATTTAGCATTACTCTAATTGTTACTAATGAATTTGGTCATTTTTCCAAAATGTTTACCATATGTGTTTATCTTTTATGAATTCATACCTTTTGCCACTTGCATTTTGGTGAGGTTTTTTTGTTCATTTGTACAAGCATTACTGTAAAATACAGATGTTAGTACTACAAGTACTTTCCCAGTTTTACCATTTGCATCGCATTCTGTTTGACTTGGACAACTTTTGACAACGGCAAAACATCGAATCTTCCCCTGGGTGATTTTTATTGTGGTTCCCCAGCCAGGCCACTGCCCTCTGCTGAGATGCCCAGGCTGAGGGTCCCGTGGCGCCCCTAGTGGCAGGGATGGGAGCACAGCCTGCAAGAGAAACTGTGCCTGCCTGTGGCCAAGTGCACTGCTCTTCCTGTCGGATTCCCAGCCCCTGGCACCAGGTGGCTCAGAGGTCTGCCCTGACAACCCCACAGCAGGGCTGGGACTGAGTGGGGCCTGGGTGTTCAGCTCTACAGGAGAACACCCGAGGGCCAGGCAGCAGCAGCAGGAGTGTGGGAGCCCAGTGACATTTGCAGAGCCCTCTTCTGTTCTTGCACATTTGGTTCTTATTGCAGCTGGTGAGATGGGTGCAGCTGGCTGTATCTTAGATGCTAAAGAGCAGAATCTCATAGGGCCCTACAGCTTCTCCCGGGGTCATTAGTGGAATGGAACCTCAGGTTTGCTGTCAGTTTGATGACTTGCATCCTCTTGATCAGGGGGAAGTGTGTAAGTGGGGAAAGTAGGACTCAGATTCCTATCTCCTCATTTTCCCTCAACCACACCCAGCTGTCTGCTTACCTCTTTAGGGCGGGCCCAAACTCCCCCAACAGACCGACCACCTCTGCAGGGGAGAGGGACGTGCACTTTCTCATTCTTTTGAGTTTGAGCAAAACTTGTGTTTTTGAGCCAAAGGGTTGGATTGGGGTATGGAGCTCAGACAAACATGGAGAAGCTCTCGGCTTCCTCGCGTTTTTGGCATTGTTTTCTCAGGAACTTTATGCTTGAACAGCTTGTTAAATTTATACTTTTCTATTTTTAGATGATGGATTTGGATGTGCTTTTATGAAGAAATGCCACATGGTTCAAGAACAAACATGTCCAGTAAGTCCGCTTGGTGAATTTACCCAAGGGCAGGAGCCCCAGGTCCTTCAGGTGCAGAGGTGGGGACACCCTTTGAGAAGACAGGGATGTCTCTGGATACAGGGAGGCCTTTGAGGGATGTTTTAAACCCTACCCATTGCTTAGTCTAATTATCTTTATTTCTAAAGGTTGGTGCCTTCTAGAGACAGCAGGAACTGTACAGTTGGAAAAACCCTGAAGCTTGCTTTTTGCTGCTTAACCTACTTCCGAGAGCAGAGTGTGAGGTCTCGCAGTATCTGTCTGACTCAGCCTGTAGTGGCGTTTTGCCCAGAGTCCTCCTCATCCACTGCACAACACCGCTTCAGTTAGGCCTGGATTGTTACTCAATTGCTTTCTGCGAAAGGAAGCCCGAGACTGACATACATGAAGTTTGTGTAGCTTTGGGAAGAAAGCAAGCAGGTTAGAGGTGCAAGCTCTGTTTCCCCAGTGTTCCACCACGCGGCTGTAGCCCGTGGGCAGCAGACTCTCCAGCAGCTCTTAACCTTTCTCACAGAGATTATGGTGAATTGATTTAAAATTTTAAAGGCTCTATGAGACTCATCAACAGAAGAGCATAATAAAGTGAGCAAGAAAATCCCAAAAGCCATGTGTTGTGCTCGTACACACACTGTCATTTACTGTGGCATATCTTTGTTGAAGAGGACATGATTTCCTTATGGGACCCCATGGGCATACCATGTTGGGGAGTGGGGAGGACGTAGGGACCACTAAGGACTGAGAGCAGCAGACACTCCACCCCGATTCCTCATCTGCCAGAGGAACCTGACTTTGCCCATGTCAGGTGACGTTCTGTCTCCATGACAGCACAGGATTTCATCCCCATGGTTTCTTACCAGTGTTTGTCCCTTTTTCTCAGGGCTGCTGCCGCCTTAGGGGACCAGGGCCTGGTAACAGCGCTTCCCCGGGAAACAGGCGTGGTCTGACCCAGGAACAAGAAGCACATCATCACCAATGACATCATGACAGCAAGAGAGCACAGCCCTCGCCATGGCGCCAGGGCCCGTGCGATGCAGCGGGCTTCCACCATTGATGTGGCAGGCGACATGCTGGGCCTCTCTCTGGCAGGTGAGCCTCAGAGCCTGCACCAGGCTCCTGGTGTGAGCTCGCAGCATGTGGGCCCTGCACCGTAGCAGCACCCTGCAGACAGGCAGGATGAGCCCCCCATGACTGCCCCAGGCTGTGGGGTGTCTTGGTATGGCACCCCTCTGGTTGAACCAGGAAATAGGGAGGTGGAAGTCAGCCCTCTTCTTGGAAACTGCTCTGCTGGAATCTGAGTGCCATCAGTTTTCCAGTTTAGGTGGGCACCTCCAGGGCTCATTTGCCAGCAGTAACGTGGGAATCCACAGGGCCTGTTTGGCAAGTGCCCAGACTGTGGTAAGAGCCCTCCCTGTTGTGGGCATGTAGACCTGAAGAGGAGAGGAGGGTTTAGTTCTGGAGTCTGAGACTTCTTAGGAATCTCAAAAGCAAAATATTTAGAAAATAAGAAATCACCTCACATAATTTTTTTGGGGGGGGAAAAAGTAGAGTGTTGATTTTTTTGCTAAATCTAAAAACAGCGAAAAGTTTATTAAGGGTGATTTTGCTGTTAATTTTTTTCTATTCAGGAAATATACAAGATCCAGATGAACCCATTTTGGAATTCAGCTTAGGTAGGTATCTTTTTGTTTTATTTTTAAAAAATATGTTGCTTAAGAACAAAAACATTACCACCAGCACAGGTTTGTCTCAAAGAACTTGCTGCTGCCCTCACATTTCTGAGATGATGGGTAGCCCTAATACAGGTGTTAACTTCCTATGTGTGTTGGGGGGGGGGGACCTCAGAGGCTGTGTGCCCACTGGGATGAGTCTCTTCAGCATGGGGCACTGTCCTTGGGATTGTGCTCTTCACAGGTGGCCTGGGACAGGGATGTGAGCCCACCCAGAGCCTCTGGCATAGGCTGTCCCCCCTTCTCCTCCCCTCCATCTACCTCTCTGGGAGACAAAACTGGGTTTAGGGCTCAGCTTTGTCACCCTTGGCTGTAGGCCTTATGTGGTTGAGTTTAGATCTCTGGCCCTAGTTTCCCGCTCTGTAAAGGGCGATGATGACACCTGCATCCTTTCCTTCTCAGCAAGGATGAGATGAGAATATACTAAATAGTGGATTAGAATTGCCAAAGCCGGGGTCAGGGAAGTGTGGCATTACCGTGGCTTAGCCTGGAGGCCCAAGATGCATTTCCCCAGAGCCCAATGCCGCCCAGTGCTCCTCTCCCTTTCCCCCTGCCCTTGATGGTGATCAGCATTGGTCAGTAGCCTGGCAACAATGTCTGTGAGGTGGTTTGACATAAAAGAGGCACCACCTGCAGAGTCAGATGACTTGGATTCTAATCCCGATGGTTCTAAGCTACCTGCATGGCCTCGAGCCTGCTGTTTGATTTTGCTGGACCAGTTTCCTCTTGTGCTATATGGGGTGTTACTGCTTTTTTGAGACACAAGGAAGATCAAGGCAGTTAAACCCCTCTCACCTGCAAAAAAGACCTAGACAAATTGCAAAACCCATAAAAGTGTAAGTATGTTGTTGTCAAATTGATACTAAATTCTGAAAATGTCCTCATTTCCAATTAAATGCTCCTAAACAAGTTCAGAGGGTTTCTCCAACCTTGACTTGGTGGCTGGTTCTGCAGAAGGGATTGAGTACAGTGCTGTGTACTTGGAATAGGAGGTTTGGGGAGAAGCTGCCTTTACTTCTGCTGGGATTCCCACATCTGCCACCTCCACCTTAGAAGAACTTTATCACTTTTCACAAATTATAGAACTGACTCCAAGGGCTGAAGTTTCATGACAGCAGAGTAAACATATTTCTAAATATTCCCTTATTTTAAATCATTCCAACCATCAGGACAAATAAGAAACCAAAACACAAACTCCGGACAGTGGGACATTTTTGAAACCCCCAGATGTCACCTGGGAGGAGGGAGTAGATGAGCAGATGAAGAAATAATAAGTAGGAGAGAGGAGCAGGGTCACACCTGCATGTGAGAATGCGGAGGCCAGAGCAGGGGGTTTGTCCTAAAGGCACTGAGACAGTCAGGAGACAAAAGCAGAGGCTTATCATAGAGTTTATGTGAGGAAGAGTTTGGGCTCAGGTACCCACCACACCCCTCAGCCCTGCAGGGACAAGAGGTTTCTTCTCTCAAGAGGCTTCAAAAGCAGAGGACCTCTGGGTTGGGTACACCAGCCAGGGTGGGTGTGAGGGGCCAGACAGAAACAGGGATTAAGTGGATGTCTCTATTGAATAAGAAGTTGCCCCAACCTTCTTCACATCCTAATTCTGCCAGGCTTATGCTTCTGGGAGGGAGGCTCTTTCTCTGGAGAAAGTAAACCACTCACTCCCTGCAAAAAGACACAAGCCTTCTAGAGGCCAACCAGAAGCAGGCCTGCCAACCACCTAGTCACTGTTGTGGAGCCCACTGAGCCCACCTATGCACACTTGACATCACATAGCCTTCTAACACCTCATTCTCAAAATCAAGTGGACATGTGTCCCCACAAAGATGGGTACACAGGTGTTCCCTGCAGCATTATTCATAATAGCCAACACTGGAAACAACCCAAATGTTCATCAGCAGAAAAATACACGAACTGTGGTGCATGCATACAAAACATGTGAATACCCTTGAGCAAGGGGAAGGAAGGAATGACTGCTACATGTAACCAAATGGGTGAATCTCAAAAGCATTAGTAAAATGAGAGCGGCTACACACAAAAGGCTATATATTATGTGATTCCATTTATACAAAACTCAAGACGATTAATAAATAGTGATAGAAAACCAATCAGTGCTTGTCTGGAACTGGAAGTGACGGTTGACAGGAAAGGGGGCAGGGAAATCCTTAGGGTGATGAAAATGTTCTTTATCTTGACTGTGGTGGTGGTTATATGGATATATGTACTTTATTAAAGCTCAATGAACTATACACTTATAAGGGGTACATCCTATATATAAATAATACCCCCAAATTGACTTAAAAACAAGATGAAAAAAATAGTCAAAGATCACCAGACCTTTGTGGAATGCCTATAACATGAAAGGAAAGAACAGATAGAAAAAATAGAACTTGGAAGAAACAGAGACATTGCAGAAAATGTTAAAGAAATTATAATTTACATACACAGGAAAAGACAGTGTGTTCATAAGGATAGGATACTATAAAGAATAAAAGGGCTGGGCGCAGTGGCTCACACCTATAATCCCAGCACTTTGGGAGGCTGAGGTGGGAGGATTGCTTAAGCCTAGGAGGTCAAGACCAGCCTGGACAACATAGTGAGACCCCTGTCTCTACAAAAAAAAGTAATAAAAAAAGTTAGCCAGGCATGGTGGTACACAACTGTAGTTACTTGGGAGCCTGAGGCAGGAGAATTGCTTGAGAAATTTGAGGGTACAGTGAACTGTGATTGCGTCACTGCACTCCAGCCTAGGCAACAGAGTGAGACCCTGTCTCTAAAAATAAAAATAAAAAACAAAAAGAAAGAATAATCGAAGAAAAAGGACAATCTTAGAAATTGAAAATATGATAGAGAAAATTTTTTAAATATGAAAATGTTTAGAAGATAGTCAAGGAATTCTCCAAGAAAGTAAAATTTGAAAAACAAAATAGAAAATGGGTAAGAAATAGAAATGAAAAATTAGAAAGTAAATCCAAGAAGTCTAACATTTAGAAGAAAAAAATAGAAAAGAATGTAATAGGGCCAGGCGTGGTGGCTCATGCCTGTAATCCTAGCTTTCTGGGAGGCCAAGGCGGGCGGATTGCTCGAGGTCAGGAGTTCAAAACCGGCCTGACCAAGAGCGAGACCCCGTCTCTATTATATATAGAAAGAAATTAATTGGCCAACTAATATATACAGAAAAAATTAGCCAGGCATGGTGGCACATGCCTGTAGGCCCAGCTACTCGGGAGGCTGAGACAGCAGGATTGCCTTGAGCCCATGAGTTTGAGGTTGCTGTGAGCTAGGCTAATGCCACCGCACTCACTCTAGCCTGGGCAACAAAGCGAGACTCTGTCTCAAAAAAAGAAAAAAGAACGTAATAGAAGGAATTACAAAGAAATAATAGAAGAAATCTCTCAGAACTGAAGAATGTATTTCTAGGTTAAAAATGCCTGCCAAGGCCCAGCATAATGATGAAGGAGACCCATAACAAGGTTATCATGGTGAAATTTCAGAACACTAGTAATACAATGAAGATCATAAAAACGTCCAGAAAGAAAAGGATCAGGAATAGAACTGGCATGGAGCATCTCAGCGACATTGGAAGCATGAAGACGGAGAGACAACACCTTTAATTACATTTCCAACCTGGAATTCTCTGCCCAACCAGACTATCAATCAAATGTGAGGGTAGAAAGAAACTTGTTTCAGCTATAAAAGTCTCACATGAATTTACTTCCCTTGCATTCTTTTTCTGGAAGTTAGTGGAGGATATGCTCCACCCAAAAGAGGGAATAAATTGAGGAAAAGAAGTGTGGTACTCAGGAAACAGGGTACCACAAGAGAAAAGTACAAGAAGTCCCACATGGCTCATATTGGATAATATTTGCTTAACTTTAATCATGCATAATGTAGATTTAACAAACAAAAAAAAAGCTAAAATTATTCATTATATAGAGAGGATGAGAGTTCATATAAGTGAGTTGAAAATCCTTATCCCCTGTAGTAGAACTCAGGACATTTCTGAATCTGGTGAGAACCAAAAGTTGTGATACATGTTAATTAGGAACATGGAGGAAGAAACAGCTTAAAAAGGTGAGGATGAATTAATTTTATGTTAAGTAAATTTTACCACAACTTTTTAAAAAGTAAGGAACAGTAGCTCAATGATTGAATGAGCAAATGTTTTGACTTTTAAAATAAGTAACTGTTGAAAATTTTAAAATTTAGTATGTATTCTTTGTAAAACTTTTAATACAGAAAATGTTAGAGGAAAAGAAAACTATTGGAGAGAGATAATTAGTTGGTATTTTAGGTATATGCCCTTCCAAATGTCTTTTTTAATTTTTTCTTGTTACTCTCACAGAGTGCTATATAGAAATTTTTAATGAATTTGGTATGGAAGTGATGGGATTATTTACAAACATGTCATCCTAGTGTTCTTCACATGCTTTTTTTCATGTAGCAAAATATATTTTTGCATTAATATACATGGAATCTCTTGCTTCATCATTTTGGATGCCATATAAAGTCTATAATACAGCTGTGCCATGGTTATTTAAACTGGTGTTGGACATTTAGGTTCTTTCCAATTTGCCATTATAAGCACCACCACAGTGAACATACTTGTATATAGGTCTTTCATACATCTTGCTGATTATTTCCTTAGGCTAATCACTTGGATATAAAATTGCCGAGTCAAATGTATGCACTTGAAATATGTTTTGCCAGTTTGTCTCAACAACATTTAGCTGGGATTGTAGATGATCAGGTTGGAGAGATGAGGCATATATATCAGAGGTTTCTATGGAAATATGCCAAATGAGTGATGTAAATGATGAACAGAAGGGACATGACTGTGGGCTGCTCAGAAAAGACTTCATAGAAGCTATGGAATTTGAGCCAGGAATTAAACATTGTTTGAAATTTAGATAGGCTGGGTGGGCGATGAGGCCAGGAGAGAATG